CTGCTGGACCAAGAACCTCTGACTGAAAGGACTCCACCAGTGTTGTACCACAAACAGCAAGTATCATAGGCAGTATCTGCTAAAGAAGATCCCTGCACAGCTCTACTGTGGTTATTACTATTGTACAATAGAGTTTACTGCTGATCTAAACGCTTACAGGGAAAGTACAGGTTGTTTCCATCTAAACCTTGCTGCATAAGACTGTTTTGCTATCTCTGCTCACAATATTGCATAAATACGCTAGAGTGCTAAAATCCATAATTTCTACTTAATTTCGCGGCACATGATGGTAGAGCTCCAAACTCTCCGCCTGAGACCCTGAGAGTGACGCCTGGAGCTCGACCCTGACGCCGTACCCTATCCCCGTATTGATAGTTCAAGCCTCCGCGGCTGAGATTCATCCACATTGCCGAACGCATTACAAATATATTCATTATAGTATGTGGATCCAATCTAGATATCAACACATCACATTCCACAATTGTAAGAGTTGAATCAAAAATGTTGCTCAGCCATTGGGACTTTTCTGGTGCTACATATTATGACAAGACATAAATAAAATATTATTTTATTTTTCACAAATGTAAACATTTTTTGCAATTGATACATTTTTGATACATTACATTCAAATGTTTTATTTATAAGCATATCTGAAAAAGCATTGTTTTAAAAGGATGGCCAAGATTGTCTAAAAAAGACCAAGGGATGTAGCCGCAACCTCCCACAATTTTAACATTACAGTACTTTTTACAGTTTGCTGGATATCAGTGTCCTTATTTTATTGTAGTCCAGTGGGAGGAAAACTAATTTCTACGCGTTTCACAGAGATCTGCTTCTTCAGGAAGACATGATTTAATTCCAATTAATATAAACACATATAATAATTAACACGTTTTGTTTAGTTCAATGAACTTACAGTAATCTCTAAGATGGCAATATCCACCACTATCCATCATCCAACTATGGGCACGGATGGGGAGGAACCCAAGAAAAAAGGAGCAAAGAACAGTGAGGTATTCTATTGGGTAATAACATCTCAAACATTATCTTTTGTATATTAATTATATTAATTGGAATTAAATCATGTCTTCTAAAATATACATTTCTTGTAGAAAGACAGTAGCCTATTCCTAAAGAAGCTGATCTCTGTGAAACGCATAAAAATTAGTTTTCCTCCCACTGGACTACAATAAAACAGGTAAAATGTACTGTAATGTTAAAATTGTGGGAGGATGCGGCTACAATCCTTTGGTCTTTTTTAGACAATCTTTTCTGTCGATTTAAAATTATGCATTTTTAGATATGTTTATAAATTTTAAAAAATACATTTTATATAAAAAAGTACACTTCTGTGATCCTTGGAGCACCTTAAAAGTCCAAATTTTCTTTCTTCTTTTTGATATAAATTATTAGGATGTTGTACTCCCCCTGTATGCATACCTCATTGAATGAAAACAACTCATTATTGATAATAACAAGAAAATATGTGCGGCAAACTACAACGTTCTAGACTTTTCAGAAGTTTAATATTCAGTGAAATTTCTGTGAAATTGTCCTCTAATTTTGACATATGTTCTTCTTTGGCAAAAATTGCTTAGCAGCATATGATTTATCTTTAAAGTAGATCTTGCAGTAAAATATAAGGTCTGCTTATATATTGTCCAGGGGCCCTTCCTCTTTATAAATAATGTTAATTGGTGCAAAATGTACCTGTAAATAAGAAAGTTAGATGAATACTGTGACATAAGGAAAGGGGAAGTCATCGAGGGTCGATACATTTCCCTTTGCTTTCTATCCTATGTACAGGATTAGCGGAACCCAGACCAAGTTTTCGGGTTGACTTTGGGTCTGAATAATCCAGCTCGGGTTTTGTGTCTCTCAACTGTATTGTTAATTGCTTATCCAGGTGAGAGAAAAGGGGAAGACTGAAGCATGATGTTGCTCCGGCCTGGGACTCAGACAGCCTTCTGAGAGAGCTACAAGTGGGATGTTGTGAGGAAAAGGTTACTGAAAGTACTTTTGTTTTGTGAGGTGGCTGAGATAAACTCACCCCCTGGTAGAGAGGAAACCGGCCTGTTTAGTCAGAGCCTGAAAGGCAAGGATTTTTTTCCCTTTTATTTTGTTTTATTGCAACCTTTTAAATAAAAAACTGACTGCAAGACAGGTAAAATAAGGACTTTGCCTCCTGGACTACATTTTTCCCAGGGAAGGTGATCCCCGTTTGAGCTATAACCCACAATAATTAGTTTGCTAAGTATTCTGCTAGTAGTGCCCTGGCAAGGGTGACTTCACACTCCCTCCAACTAGATCCTAAGAAATAAGACCAGTATAAATCTTCCTAGAAACATAACAACATTAGGAGACAAAAAAATCCTAAGTTGTATCAGGAAGTCGCCAGACCGTTCAATCAGGAGTGACAATGAGTAGATCTGAGAGTTCCATTAAACACCAAACAGATTAGTGCAGTTCTCAGTCAGTAAGTTGTGGTAGAGGAATTCCATGAACATAGCTCTAGGGGCCAATAGGATTAATTGCGTCCATTGCAGATAATTAATGAATATAATATGGAAGCAGGTGCTATGAAACATAGGTTGGCTCATGCACACGGTCCAAGACTGCAAACATAAAGGTGGAATCAAACTTAGGCCTCAACCCCACATGCCTGATAACAGATGTAGAGAATACCATTCTCCACTGCGTAGGTATGGTCCTGAATCCTGCGTCTATATTGTCTTAGTTTTTCCAATCTAAAAGGCACAACATTTACATGTCATCAAATAAATTATTCCAGTCGTATCGCATGAAACATGATGTTGAATCTAATGTACTTTCCCCTTGGGAAGAGTGATGTGGGTGCCTTCTATCAGCCAAGTACATTGTGCACAGGATCCACACCGTTGTATACCCCATTTTGTACATGGATCTCCTTTCAATCCACCTAGGTAATGACTTGAAACTAACCTATCCTTAAGTGATCTAGATTGTCTGTAAGTGATAGAAGGGGTAGGTGAGATATATTTGCTAACCAAGAGGTCATTGGTTAAAAGATGCCAATGCTCTTCAAGTATGGACCTAATTTGGTGGTGATTTGCAGTGTTTTTGATAATCATTTGTGTTCTATTATTCTGTGTTTTCATTTTATATTTAAAGATGAAGTTCTAACCTGACTTGGTTAAAGTTTTCCTGTCAGCCCTTTTTAAAGATTTTAAACTTGTCAGCTTGATATTTGAAATCCAAATCACTCAAACAGTTGCTGCGTATATGGAGGTACTGGCTGAGTGGGGTACTATTGAGTAAAGGTTTTGGATGTGAGCTAGATGCATGCAATATAGAATTACCAGCTGTACTCTTCCTATATAATGTCGTAGAGATCTCACCAAGTGTGTTGGCCTTCATCTCCAAGACGGAAATTTCTTCCTTTTTATATGACGTTGTAAATTTTAAATTGTAGTCATTTACAGCTATGAATTCTTTAAAGGCATACAGCTTCTCCAGCGTCCCAGTCCACACTCCTCCATAGTAAAATGTGCGGGAGGGGCAGAGGCCTGTTCATTAGCGAAGAGGTCATGTTCCCACCCCCCAGGCACAGGTTGGTAAATGATAGGGCATAACGTGTGTTCATTGCAACCCCCTGCACCTGGAGGTAGGTGGTCCCCTGGAACATGAACATGTAGCTTGTAAATATATGTTGTACAAGCTTCAAGAATAACGTATTATAATTCCATTGTGGTTGATCCCTGTCTTGTAAAAACTTACTAATAGCTTCAATTTCTTTTACACGGGGGATGCTGGAGTACAGAGCTTCAATGTCTAGCGCCACTAGATATGCTGATGAGAGTATTATAAGATCTTCCAATGATTTTATTGCAACAAAACATTTGCAATTATTGTTTAACTAATCCAAAATAAAAACAAACTTTCGGAAAGATCCAAATCTGAATAATGAAACAAATTGACTTTCTGACCCGTATCTCAAAAAATTAATGAATAAAAAAATTTGAAACAAACAAATTTTTGGCCGGCTTACATGTCTACCTGGAACTTTTTTTTGTTTTGGAAGTTGGCATATCATGATCTGGCAAGGTCTGGGGTATGAGTGTTGTCTCTGCACATGGTTTGGAGAAGCTGAATACCCCTTTTCAGCAGCAATATTTAAATACATTTATACAAGGAAACATATTTTTTTTTTTAAATCCTATTAAGAGAAAAATGCCTTGAACATGAAGTAAACATATCACTTACATTGAGAATATGCTTTCATAAACTTTAACAAATATTTTAAATGATTTTAGAATACACCAAGCATCATGTATAAATTACTTTCAGATATATCTACGTACAATATATTTAAAATGATCCGGTCACTAAAAAATACATTACAAGCAGCTTATAAAAATGTTCAATATTCCCCCTTCTGGAGGGTGGTGAGTGAAATATTTATTCTCTTGAAGAGCGATGGGTGGAGTTGGTATCTGAAACTTTAGGATGCTTTGTCTCCCTCTGGTCATTGTGGTTCCTCCTCACTAAGTGACTACTTTGTTCTATATTAATGTAGTGGCCCTCAGGAGGAACCACCAAACAAGGTGTCCAACAAATGCAAAGTATTGGATACCAGCACTGTTCATAGCTCAACAAGAGAGCAAAAGTGACAATTACCATCAACCGCAAAGGTGAAAACTAAATATTGAACTTTAAATTTCACAATGTTCTGCATATTCACTATTTATTTATTATAGATTATATTTTCATTTTTTAACAAAGAGATTATCATAAATAAATTACAATAACTATCCTCTATTTTCAAGCAAACTTGCTTTTGTATTCAGGTCAGGTCTGAACAGAATGATGTAACATTTTGGGAAAAATATACAGCCAAGAAGTCCAGTACTTGAGGCAATGATAGCAAAAATCTCCACAGCCACCATGTATTTCCCTCTGGTGCTCAGATAGGCCGGGATCATGGCAATCCAGACACTGCAGAACACCAGCATGCTGAAGGTGATGTACTTGGCCTCATTAAAACTGTCCGGTAATGTCCTGGCTAAAAAAGCTATAATGAAGCTCACAGCTGCCAGAAGTCCCATATATCCCAGGACAGAGTAGAAGCCGATAACTGAACCCTCATTACACTGAAGGATGATCTTTCCCTGATAAGAGTGAGTGTCTCGATCCTGGAAGGGAGGAGAAATAGACAACCAAGTGACACAGATTATAACTTGCACCATTGACAACACAGACATGATAGAATTCGGCAATTTGATTCCCATCCATTTCCTCCAGGAACTCCCAGGTTTGGTGGCTTTAAAAGCAATACACACCATGATACTTTTGGCAAGTAGAGAAGAGACAGCAACTGAGAAGATGACACCAAAAGAGGTTACACGCAGCATGCAGGTTACATCTACTGGATGGCCGAGGAACAAGAAGACACAGAGGAAGCTCAGCATGATGGAGACCAGGAGAAGATAGCTCAGGTTCCGGTTATTAGCTTTAACAATGGGTGTGTCCTGGTAATGTATAAACATCCCCAATATTACACCAGTCAGAAGACAACAGAGGATGGAGACAGCTGAAATTACTGCAACAATTGCATCATCAGTGTAGGAGAGAAACTCCACAAACTTTGGAACACACCGATCCTTCTTCTCATTTGGCCATTCTTCATCAGAACATTTCATGCAGTTTTCACTGTCTGCAGGAAGAAAAATACCAACACAACGAGCATCTGTGTCAGAGTGTCTGAGAACAATGTCTTGTGTTGCCTCACAGTTAACAATCAGATTTCCATCAGTACATTGTGAAAGAGTAAAAGAAAATATAATACATTACATAAATATAGAATATTGAAACAATAATATTGAGATGCATTACAAAGATAGATAGATAGATAGATAGATAGATAGATAGATAGATAGATAGATAGATAGAGATACTTTAGGTTTTATTATATGGTTATATAGCTACAATGTAACATAAAAAAGTATTTGGTGACATAAAGATGCAGTAAAAGGTGAAAAAAGAAAGAAAACAATCAAAAATATGTTATAGACAGAAAAAATAATAAAGTGATACAATGTATGTAATTTAAAATAATTAACTTCTGTTATTTGCTACCTTTTGGTCTGTTAAATACTGTATACCCTCAGAGTAATTTTGTTGTATCTTTATAATAAGTACAAAATACATGTTGATCAGGTTAGAAATTCAGAACTGCCCTGAGCACATTTCTTGTGTTATCTCTAGAAATATAATTAGTCCTCCTAGTTCTTATCTTGTCATTACATAATGATGAGTTTTTATGGTGTTAGCAGAGATGACACTTGAGGGAGGAGGAGTGAATTTCTGGTTATTCAGTGGTAGACATGTTCACTCCCAAAAAAATTGTTTAGTTTCGTTTCAAATTCGGATTTGTGTTATTTCGTTTTTCGGGATTTGGGTGTGAAAGTCAATTCGGATTCCGAATTCGGATTCGGACGAAATTCGGTAGCGGTAGTTCGAACGTTCGTTTCTTATTCGTTTCGTTCGTTTGCAGCAAAGTGACATTTGAGGGGAAAAAATGTTTTTCTCCTTCTCTAATGTCACTTTGCTCCAATGAACGAAACGAATAAGAAACTAATAAGAACTGAAAACGAAACGAACGTTCGAACTACCGCTACCGAATTTCGGAAATGGAAATTCGGATTAGTTTGCATGCGTTACATCCGAATGTCCGAATTTCCGAAAATTCGTCCGAATTTCGATTCGGAACGAAACGAATCGCACATGTCTATTCAGTGGGTAATTGTTTTTGTACTTGCAGGGTACACAGAAAAATGTATTGTGGAGATGTACTGTATATTTTTTTGCCTTTTTATACACTTTAAGAATTTGTTGTGTCAAATTTGGCAACAAATTAGGCAACAAATTGAGTGTTGTTTTTGTTTTTTTTTACTTTTCAAAAGATTTTATTGGTTTCTCACAATACAGTGACGTCACATCAATGTATATTTAGTTACAGACATATATTGTGACGGCATAAAAACGTATGAAAAACGTATAAAAACGTATGAAGTAACGTAATAACGTGTACAATCTCTAGTCGGCCATCCTTGGACTGGCCATGGGTTTGGTGAACAGGAAAATTAAACAATATGAATTATCTATCAGGTAAATATTAGAAGTCATCTAGATCACCTGGATCCTTAGATGGGATCAGTAATTCTAGGATGAGGGTTAAGGACAGTAGAGAGAAGAGAGGGGGAAGAGGGAGGGTATAGGATGAGCGCTACCACTAGGTCTCACCATTATTGTCACAGTTGGTTGAGATAAGTTTGACGGGACCTACCTCAAAGCGACAGTAGTTGCCGATCAAATGACGGGGGTAGGTAATGTAATACCCATGGTTCCCACTGTTTTTCGAATTTGGGCATATAGTCTAAAATGCGGGCTGACAATTTTTCGTTATAAAATACCCAGTGCACTTTATTTTTCATTTCTGCTATACTTAGCTTTTTCGTCAGCCAGGCTCCAGCTATAGTGTGCTTGGCTGCAGACAGTAGTTGTAGCATTAATTTAGACTGTAAAGTAGTAATACCTATCGGTCTAACATTAAGGAGAGCTTCCTGAGGCATAGGTGGTATATGCGTGTTAAGTGTGATTGAGATAATCTGGAAAACCTTCCGCCAAAAGGGGGCTACAACCGGGCATGACCACCACATATGAAAATACGTACCGCTGTCACCACATCCCCTGGTGCAAAGGCCATCACTTTCCGGCACAAAGTGTGCCTCCTGTATGGGCACTATATACCACTATATAGCTTCAAGAGTCGAGGCATTTTTGGAGCATGATTTCGTGCTATCCCAAATTTGGGACCAAGTATCATCATCTATCGTGGTTTGAAGATCTGTGTGTCAGCGATCCATATATGTATGATGGGGTGTGTTCGCACTCGACATTAGAGAGGAATATAGTTGTGAGATTAACCCCAGAGTGTGGGGATCTTGGGTGCATATTCTTTCGTATGGTGTCATGCGCTGCGCGGGGTGGCTAATGGGAATTTTATTTGTGATTGGATGAAGTGTTTAATTTGGAGGTACCTGAATAATTCTTTGGAAGGGAGATCAAATTTAGCTTGTAAATCAGGAAAAGGAACCACTTCATTGCTAGTGGTGAGTTTGTTCAGTAGTGTTATCTTGTTTGTGATCCAGATAGGGTACAATGAGGGGGACTCATTAGCCGGAAGGAACATCGGATTACGGATGAAAGACATTAGGGGAAGATGTGGGGAAATAAGATCACTAGAGTATTTCACCGAGTCCCATATCCTGAGTTAGTGCTTGGTGATTGGATTAGTAATATTGAATCTTGCATTAGGTCTTTTCCACAGGAGGTTATCAATAGCTATGGGGTCGCAGTCCATTGCTTCGAGGGAAATCCACAAAGTTGTCTCCCAAGTTGCGTGGTATTTAGCAATAGTTGCAATTTGCGCGGCTTGAAAATATTTGTGGAGGTTCGGGACTCCTAGACCTCCAGTTGATCTGGATTGATACATAACCGTCCTGGGATATAAATTTAAATATTTTGTGTTGGAGCCCCCTCAGGATATGGGACGGGATAGAGATTGGCAGGACCCGAAAGGGGTACAATAATTTAGGCAATAGTGTCATTTTGATCGCAGCGATCTTCCCCAGCCAGGAGAGGGGGTAGGTGCGCCATATTTTTAATAGGTTAGTGAGTTTGGTGATCAGTGGCGGGTAATTTGCCGCATATAGCGATGGGAGAGAAGAGGTAAGATGTATGCCCAAATAAGAGAGCGAAGTTGGTTCCCACTGAAATGGGAACTTGTCTACTAGTGATGTTTTAAGGTGGTAGGGTAAGGATAAGTTTAGTATTTTCGATTTAGCTGGGTTGACTGTCAGCCCTGAAAGCTGCCTGAAAGTATCAAGGAGTGTCATTAGGTTAGGAAGGGATATGTGCGGTTTAGTGACATATAATAGGATGTAATCCGCGAAGAGGCATAGTTTGTGGTGTTGTCCTGCCACAGAAATACCCGAGATGTCAGGATGTGCACGTATCATAGCGGCTAAGGGTTTGATTGCCAGGGCGAATAGGAGGGGGGATAAGGGGCATCCCTGTCGAGTTCCCCTATAATCAATGGTATTGACTTGTAACCTGCATATTTCACTTAAGCCACTGGTTGTGAGTATAGCGCAGAGAGCCAGGTGCAAAATTATTTTCTGAATCCCCAGCGGCGCAGCATGTCAAACAGATATGGCCATGACAGCGAGTCGAATGCTTTGTGCATGTCTAGTGATAAAAGCAGTGATGGAATTTTGCGCCTCCTCACTAGATCGATCAAGAGACAGGTTCTGCGAACATTGTCTCCAGCTTGACGGCGCGGCATAAAGCCCACTTGATCTTTGTGGATTAGGTCGCCTATAAGAATATACTTGCTGATATTGAGGGTGGAAGTACTTTGGGTGGGATGCGTGGGAGAAGTGGGTCTCTTGGAGACAGATAATGTCTATATGTCTGGAGCGGAACTGTCAGGTACCTGTTCGTGGGAGATGCCGTGTCCCTCTGCGGGGACATAGACGGAGAGGTGATCCAGCAGCACGGGCCGGTTGCGCAGGCGCAGACGGCAGAAGGCCCGGCGGATTACGTCATCACGTCTGTGCGGCGCGGTGATGTAATCGGGCCGGCGAATGCGCAGTAGCTCATCCTCGGCCTATATAAGGCGCTGCAGGACGCTCATTCAGTGCTGGGTGATCTTCAGCCAGCACTGGATGTTCGTGCTGTGCTTATTCTTGCTCCCTGGTCATTGACCCTGCCTTGCTCCTGTTCCTTGCCCATTGTGGTTCTTGTTCCCTTGGCTTCCCTGTTAACGTTCCCATCTCTACCACAATTTCTTCTGGGCATCATGAACTTTTGCGTTTGGATGTCATCTCGTCACCCCTATTTCCAATCATTCTGGGAATGCCGTGGCTTCAGGCTCACAACCCGCACATCGATTGGGTTTCGGGAACTGTCTTATTTAATTCGGCCTACTGTAAGCAATACTGTGCACACTCCAAGGAACCCCAGGGCCTGTCACTCTGCCAACCGGCCCCAGACCTAGAGCTACAATACAAAACACAAAAATTCCCCAGCCCCAACCTGCCACGTCACCTGTCAGAGGGTTCCCCAGGTAACCCTTTGACATTTAGGGTTAAGCACTGTAGGGCTGCCATAGATGTTGTGTAAGTGAGTTGAGTAGATCATTGGACGTCTGATGGGGACTAGGTGGTGTGCTCATTTGAAGGGGTGGGAGGGGGAAGTATAAGAGAAAAGACGGAAAACAGAAAAAGTGGGTACAGAGCAGCGTGAGCTGCAGGTTCTGACTCGGGTCTAGCAGACCGCCACGTATCACGTGACAAACTGCCCCCCCCCCAGGCAGAAGGATCATCTCCGTTCCGAACCTGTAGGTTGGGAGGAGGAAGAGAAATGGGTGGCAGATGGGCAGTTCCCCACCGACACAGCTTTAAAGTGTAAATAAACAACAATCTAAAAGTTAACAGTAATAAACTTAATAACAATAACATTTCTGACTTATTTCAGTGCACTAGTAGGACTGTAGGATAACATGAGAGCTTGGTGAGCAATAGCTCCCGGTTCTTTAGATAGGTGGGCAGACACCATTTAAATCTCAACGGTGTATGGCCATCTAGAACCTGTAAAGTTTAAGGCACTTCCACCTATATTGGTGTAGGAATGCATAATAAAAGCAACTATATTGCTACTTAAAAGTATAGATTAGCATTAGGCAGCGTTTCTAACTACTATATCTCACAGAAAACAACTTTACAGCAAATACGCATAATATTTGCTATGTTAGAGTTGAGAAACCGTGTCAGTCAATAGCTACCCTCAGCCAACCGATTCCGAGTCAGAGTGGCGTGTGGTGGATCTCGTGGCTGGACGCAGTGGCGACGACACCAGGGGTGGATTTCTCGGAGGAAAGGTGGATTTTTTTCATCTGAGCGATTACATCCAAAGTAGAGGGAGCCTGTTGGCGGTCTAATGGATCGGGGGGCAGGTGAAGTTCTTCAAGGGTGGCGTTAAGTTCCTGTAGTGAAGAAGCGTGGCGTTGTCGACCTTGATAGGAGGTAAATTGAAAGGGGAAACCCCACCTGTATTGGATGTTGTGTTGTTGTAGGGTCCGCAGTGCCGGTTTCAGTTCTCGTCGCTTTGCTATGGTGGACGGGGCGAGGTCTGCAAATTTTTGATAATCATGTCCTTGAAAAGTGAGGGGTTGTTTGGTGCGGGCTTCGTGGAGTATGGTTTCTTTGGAGCGAAAGTATAGACATTTTGCAATAATGTCTTGTGGCGGCCCGTTCGGCTGGCGGCGTGTTAAGGCTCTGTGGATGCGCTGAAATTCTAATCTTTCATATGGTATGGATGGGGCCAATTCTTGTAGCAGTGCTGTTACAAATGCTGGGAGATCCAAAACAGATTCAGGTATGCCCCTTATTCTGAGGTTTGAGCGGCAAGATCTATTTTCTAAATCCTCTAGTTTAGAAAGAAGAAGGGCATTATCTTCTTTCATGGCATCTAACTCTCGATCATGAGCTTCCAGGGTCACTACAGTGACATCCATCCTGGATTCTAGATCAGACGTTCTGTGCCCGAGGTCACGGATTTCTTTTGTTAGTTTGTCTGTGATCTGTTTAGATGTCTGTTGAAGTGCTTTCTGTAGCATACGGTCAATTCTTTTAAGGAGGTCCTGCTGTGAGGATTCAGACCGTGGGGGAGAGGGAGAGCTGGCTCTGCTGTCTGTGTCGTCCCTGCTGTTATGGGACAGTGAGGCCTCATGTGGCTGCTGCAGTGTAGTGTGCTGCGGCGCCATTTTGGCTGGAGTGCGAGTCTGCCTCTCACCTGTGTATCTCCCCCGCTGTTGTGTTTTGGGACCTGTGGAAGACATGTCCCTGTCGTCCGTCGCCACCTCCGTCCAGCAGTATGGTCAGTGGATTAATTTGATCCGGGTGAGCAGCGCGGATTCCCCCTCTATGTTGGCGGAGGACGGAGCGGGTCTAAAACATGACCTCTCCGGTTTGCCGCGCGCATGCGCCCAGTGTTTTATTTTTATTATGCATTGATATCAGACCCGATGTTAAGCAGTATATATGATAAAATGGGATGAACTTCAGGTTTGGGTCAACCGAGACCCAAAGAGTTCAGCCCTAACCTTGCCTCTTCACAGTTCAGCAAATGGGCCAACAAAATAAGCAGACTCTCCCACTGCTCCTTCCATCACAAAAGACAGTCCCCGACCAGGTGCTGAATCTCAAGACCAACTGGAGGTGTCGGGTGATGTTATTGAGCAAATATGGACAACAATACCCTGGCTGCTTTGTCTACACACAGAAGTAGGTAGTGTGCTTGGAAAACAGATCGTCTCACCATTCTCAGGTTGTCCTGTTCAGTGGCTCTCTCAGCCTCTCCAAACCTTCCAGCCTCCCAGGCTGTCCCTCATGTGCCTCCAGCGCACACAGCCACCTGGCTCCCCTCTGACTTCTGGGTGGAGTCCTCCTGACTCCTGAACACCTATGTTCCTCTTCCCAGCTGGAACCCAGAACACTAGCCACCACCCTTCCCATAAGTGAGGTGCACAGGTGTCCAATTAGGTGCTGGCCACCACCAAACAATGGACCCAGGAATGGAGATGTCATCCCTCTCAATTCTCTTAGAAATCTCCCAGTTCCAGGATCCCATGCCAAATCCAGAAATCCTGGGAAGAGCCGCAAAGCCAGCTCCTTCCCAGTACAATAACGTGCCTCCTGGAACCGCTCAGCCCCCCTGGCTTCAATGTTAATGTCAGCACTTATCTTAAATGATGTCTCTTAATCCGATCTTCCTCTTCTTCCCTGATGTTTTCATCTGTCCCTCCAGCGGTGCGGCGGCTCTCCGATCCAGCGCTGACTCCTTTCTGCTTGCTGGCACTTCCGATTCAGCGGTGTCTGCATGCGGGCGCACGCGTCCATAGACTTACCTTGCGTCTCTGCTCGTCTCCCGGCCGAGAATCCGAACTGCGCATTGCGCCAGCCCCCAGATCCTTTGCGGTCACACGAACAGAGCGGGAGCGTGCAGCGATAACGAGGTAAGTTTAAACCGCTGTTAAATCGTTTTTTTTATTTACTTCTTGCCTATATCTACTGCTTGCTAGCAGTAGATATAGGCAAAAAAACCCAGAGGCTTTAGAACCATCCCTTCCAGTTCTTATCTAATATTAGAGAACAAATACTCTCTATGAGAGGATGAAAGGGGAGGGATCCAGTAGTTTAGTGGAAGTAGTAGTAGTAGTAGTAGTAGTAGTAGTAGTAGTAGTAGCAAAAGACAACTAGGTGGGGCTGGCACCATTTCTTAATTTCATAGTTTCAGTCCACAAATTCCAGAGTTTTGTCAGCCCACAACATGAAATTAGGAATTGAGTGCATTCATGCCAGGATCTGCAGATATTGTCCTGTACCTGCAGGGAGTCTAAAGGGATAAAACATGGGGGGACATGCTCACACTGCAGAGGTGGACTGCATATGTTTCTTTCCTGACATAGATTTTAACAACAGTGGTAACTTCTGTCCAGTCCTACAATAAATAACTAAATAATACAAAATCTACCAGAAATGTTGGATATTTCTCCTTCTGGACACGGGACACACTCATAGCAGCATTCATGAATTGAAGATCCAAACTTCTTTCTGGTGCCAGGTAAACAGGGATCTGAGCACCGAGATACCGGGACCTGGAAATCAGAGATCATTGTTATTGTTATTATTATTTTGTAAAGGTCCTTCATATCCTGTGAGATTATACACACTTTGGGGTATATTTATAAAGCAGTGAATATGACTTTTACAAAAAATTCACTGCAAGTGAATCTTTTTGGTGCACATTTTATAAACACCAGTAATTGATTCACCTATAGTAAATGTTTTATGAATATCACATTCACTGCTTTATAAAAACATCCCTCAAGTGTTCTAAAACAGAATTACCTATAACACAAATAGATTAGAAAAAAAATACAGAGAATATGAACATGTGAAGTGTATGTCCAGGCAAGATCTTTTCCTTTTTTGAGCTGTATGTGCACTGGCAAAAAAAAAATTTTTTGTTTCTATTTATCAAGCAAATAATTCAGTTTCATCATATTCGTTACATTATGTTAGAATGATTTGTTTTTGGAATGATTCATAATTTCGGACGGTTCATTATCACCTACAATGTATTATTCTGGAAGACTGGCTATTAGGTAGTAGTAGACAAGTTGTCTGAAATACGATCCGGTTTGGGATAAATTAACGTAAATTATCGGAATCATAAGGAAACAAATTGCGCATGTCTATTATATAGAGTGTGGGAGGATTAGAACCTCTTGTTGGATTTTACTTCTGTCTGGGGCTCTGTAAGAGAGATTCCCCCCGTTTTATACATGGTTAGGATGCCTTCACCAGATGTGTATAGTGTTAGGATCCAGAGCGCCTCCAGGTGGCGCTGGAGCTAAGCCTTGCAGTTTCTGTGCTCCCTGCAGGTGTCTCCAGGCAGCCAGGAACTGTTAGGTACCAGACCACCACTGGGTGGTGCTCAAACCTGCAGCTACACTGCTCACCTGTGGGTGTATCCCAGCTGCCAGCACTTAGCCATCACCTGGTGCTTCCTGGGATGGTATTTAAACCATCCCTGCAGTCAGGACGATGGCTCTGTATCCTGTTATTATTTCCTGTGAGCCCTGTTACCCGTTTGCAGTCCTGAGCCCTGTTACCTGTTTGCAGTCCTGAGCCCTGTTACCTGTTTGCAGTCCTGAGCCCTGTTACCTG